CCGCCATGTGATTGGCTGCTTAGAAATTAAGTGTTAACGAGCAGTTGGACAGGTGTACCTAATAAAGTGGCCGGTGAGTGTATACTGCATGCATCTTTTAGGTAGTTAACAGTGGCTTATTTACTGTCACAGGTAGGCGCTTCTTCCAGAGAGGAAGTGTTGGGGCCGGTATGATTTAAGGAGGGCCGGCCCTCGCATGCTGACATCAGGACCGGCCCATCGGGAAAATGCCCGGTTTAACAGTCCGAGGCTGCCGGCATGTTTGCTTTGAATTGACAAGTTGTCAAATTAGAAAAAAAGTCATTTGGAAAGTAATTCCCAGGGAAGGCATGCTAAATATGTCGATCACAAAGTTCGGAGTGAGGAAAAAAGAGGTGGATTGAATCTCTAAACTCCATTACTGCTGCTAGTTTGGTTGCAAGCATTGAAAACCGTTCATAGATGGAACAGGTGGCGCTCTGCTGCAGGGATGGGAAACTTCTTCCATTTTTCCCCCCAAATCCTAAAAATCTAAATAACACCAAGGAACGCCGGTGACAGAGGATGTCGGGTTTCAGGGTTAAAGAAATCTGCTCTGATGGATGTCAGTTCCTGCTTGGTTCCTCATGACTCCATCAGCTCCTCCCAACAGAAACACGTCCACCACAGAAAGATTTCTATAATTTCACCAATGCAACAAAACCTAAACCATGCGGTGAAGCGACGGGCAGTGAGAGAATTCACTGCTCCACCCTCACCTGTCACTATGTGACATTTGCTCCAGGATAAACATTTAATCATGAATGCTTACTATATATTTAAGCCCATGAAGTCATATTTTATAGTGAGCCAGTAAACTTAGAGCCCGTGTTGCCATATGAGGCTGATAGAAGACTTTATTGCGGCTCCAGACATGTTTTTTTGGCTCTTTGAAGAGCTTGGGTTGCCGACCCCAGACGTAGTGTCTTTCTCTTAAATACTACTCTGATTGCACTGAAACTATAAGTGTTCTAAAACATTAAAAATGTGTTTTATGTACTGTATTTATATATATATATATAACTGTATACTGTTTCTGTGAGACTATCGTGGAATTTGGGTCATTGATCTGTGTTAACATTAAATATATAAAAAGGCCATATTTTTCATGGACAGTACCTCCTCAGGGAGACGTCTGCTTGCAAAAAAGGTCTTCATATTGTAGTGAGGCCTACAAAACATTATGATACAAAAACAAGAGTGAGTGAAGCTGAATTGTAGAGCTCTAGTGTGTGTTTGTTGCATGAATTTGCTCAGATCAATGTTTCAGACGCTTTACAGTCACAGATAGTTCTCATTTAGCCAACTGCTTTGCTCCTAGCTGGGTGTCTGCTGCCATTATGAATAATAAGAGGAGTTTCATAATAAAGGGCGTGGTGAGAGACAAATCAAAAGCCAACTGCTCAGAAAAAAAAAAGACGTTTCTTGATGTTTGGTGTGCACTGCAATAAATTCTGTACCAGCCATCACACTCTGTTCTGTAAAGTAACACAAGCTTGCCATATGTAGTTGTACTTCCTTTTGAATCATGTGATAATCAACATTAAGGTGTTTGTTTTAACAGGTTTTATTGTCAGAAGAAGACACCTTTATTGCTCTTTATGCAGATGATGTTGTTGCAATTGGATGGCGGGGAACACAGAGCTACACGCAAACAGATCTCTAGATGTTCCTCCGCTGTTGCCATGGACACCGCCTGTACTTTTAGTGACACTGATATTGTGACATATGGGTGGACCAATGAACTGTTGGATGGCTCTTCCACTGGACTTGATTTGTTGTTTGAAGCACTTTTTGTTTTGCTCTTAAGAAAGATGTTAAAAATATCTGAATATTTAAGAATGTTTCCGACGACCAAAATATGGCTTTGTGCCTGGAGTTTATGTAAACAGATAAATGTGATTTTATGGCTTTATTGTGTGAAATGAAGATGTATGTTGGAGTCTAAAAAGTGTTATAAAATGCTCATATTTTATTTAAAAAAAACAAACCCTACTTAAAGTCACATTTGGTCACATGTTTTGGTGATTTACTGTATCCTGCACAGACAATCTGTTTCACTGGTTAACCTTGTGCAAGCATCTCCTGCTCTTTCCATGTTTCTCATTAGTAAATCAATATCGGAGGTCTCTGGAGAGCAGGACAGATTACTGGAATTGGCAGTCGTTTTTAAAGCATGTGCCTTTCTACAGCTCTAGAACAATGAGCTACGTTCACACTGCAGCCTGAAGTGACCCAATTCC